GAGAGAGAGAGAGAGAGAGAGAGAGAGAGAGAGAGAGAGAGAGAGAGAGAGAAAAGATAAGACAGCTTTCTTCCTTTCCCATCTATAGCACTTTTTCCTTTTCCTTCCTGCTTACAGCGGCTAAACCCTCAAGCACAATGGGATAGAAAAGTGGTGGGAGTGAGCAGGGAGGGGCAGGCTCACCCCAGCTGAGCTCAGGCATTCTGGGGAGCTTCCTTCTGAGAACTCACCCCTGCTGAGGTAAGAGCCCCCCAGATCTTAAAGGTTTCACTACATCCCTTTCAGGGAACCCCATTAAGCCACATGCAAAGCATGGCGGCCCTCATTGGTCAACCTCGGTGGTTCTTTTCTTGACCCCAGCAGGACCCACAGCAGAAAGCCTTTCCTATGGGCTTTCAGCACAGACTGACCCAAGGGAGCAGCGTGGTGCCCTCAGATGAGGAAGAGCTTTCCCTGAGCCTGGAGGAACACTTTGAAGAAGGTACCCTCACCCCTGCCACCGTTGTCCTGGAAACAAGCTAAACCTCTTGCACAGTCCTTTCTGTGCAAGCTAAGCCACGAGGCGATGGCTGTCTTGCTACTTGTAGGGCTGCATATTCCTCGGCTCTCCCATGGCTGCACACAATACCCAACACCCATAACTTAAAGAAGGAGAGGCTTAGTTGGGTTCATGGTCTCTGAGGATTCAGTCCGTGGTCCCCCGGCTCCCAGGCAGGACCATCATGGTAGAACACAGCTGCTGCGTTTGTGGCAGCTGAGAGGCAGCACTAGGAAGGAAGGGGCGAAGGCCCAGACACAGACCCAAAGTCATGCTTCCGTCACTCCCTCAGACACACCCAGGAGTGTGGTTACCAGTCCCCTGCACAGCTCCCAAGCTGGTCAAGCTGACACAATCAAGCTGACCGGTCTAGGCTGGGAGGCTAAAATGAAAGTATCATCCGCAGGTACAGATACGATTTATGGGACATTTAGTCTCTTTTATCTCATTGCATCCTCACTAATCCAGTGAAGTGGAAGCCATTCTCCTTTGTACGGATGAGGAGGACCCAAGAGCCACTCGTAACTTATGCAAGCAAGTGATCTGGTCCCTCAGCAGCGAGCCTCCTTTCTCTTCACTCTGCATATATGAAGAAGTATCTCCAGGATGCATTGGCTTCCTGCCCACCTTTAAAATGTGATTCTTTCTATGGAAAACATTGGTGGACCAACCAGAGACCATAAAGAACATCTGAGATTGCTTCCTTTCTCCCTGTAGTAGTATGGATTGAACCCAAGACCTTTACACTGAGCTATATTCCCAGCCCCTTTTTATTTTGCCTTAAGGTCTCGCTAAATCACTTAGTTGTGCAGGCTGAGCTCCAACTTGCATTTATCCTGCCTCAGCCTCCCAAAGGGCTGGGATTCTCAGCTTGTGCTGCCACGCCTGGAAGCCCCCGTTGGTTCGGATGGCTTTTCTTTGTCCTCCTCATATGGCATGGGAGTGGGAGCGCTTTTGCTGCCCGCTCCTCCGGGATACAGTGATCAGGCACTCTGTGAACGCCTCAGTGACATCTGCCCTCTCCCCTGTGGTCTCCCCAGAGGACCTTGATGCCCACTCTCCGGAGGAAGCGTTGCTGGACCAGGCCCAAGAGTTAAGCCCTGAAGAAGAGACTTCAGTGGAGAGAATAGAGTCTGAGGGGAGTGAAGAGGCAGAAGACGAGGGATCCCAGCTGGTGGTTTTGGACCCAGACCATGTAAGACAGTGTCTCATTCCAGGGTTTACTTTCCCTGCATGGGCCCTTTTCTGCCCATGTTGACCACCATGCCGTGTCCCTGTTACACTGCCCACTGCACTGTTGTCTGCAGGTATGCCTCTTGCTTTGTAAAGTGTGTTCTGGTTTTTTTTTTTTTTTTGCAGTACCAGGGATTGAACTCAGGACCCTGTGCTTGCCAGACAAGCATTTGTTCTACTGAGCTATCTCCCTGGCCCAGTAAAGTGTGTTCTTTTACATTGAAATACCTAGGATATACATTTTTCCCAACCTCAACTCTACTAACCCTTGGGGTCAGCTTATTCTCTTGTGGGGCTGTCCTGGGCTCTGTAGGCAGCACCCATGGCCCCCACCCACCACATGCCAGTTGTACCCCTCCTGTGTTGTAACAACCACAGACACCTGTGCAGGGTGGGTGGGGCCACTGCCTTGAAAATACCAACCTGATTACAGTTCCTTGTCCCAGCCTCTGGCAGGGAGCAAAGGCAGATAGGCAGATCACGGTTGGAGCTGCCCATTTGGGAGGCTGAGGTGTTCTGGTGTGGGAAGGAGCCCTAGCAAAATGCTCTGGGCGCCTGCTCAATGCTGGCATCCTGGCCGATGCTCACCACCACCCTCTGAGCCCTGGTAAAACTCAGAGGAGCAGCCAGTTCACTATCCATTACCAAACCGTGCACTAGTGTTGCAGTGCCCGGGATGATGGGACTGTGAGGTGTCTTGAATTTGTACCTTTGGAAGGAGGCCTGCCAGGCAGAAGTGGGAGTGCCCAGTGTGCGTATTGCCTCTGTGTCCCATTTCCTGTGACCTGGATGGGACAGGAGTAACCGCATGGCTTTCTGTTGCTTTAGCCCCTGATGGTCAGATTCCAGGCTGCCTTGAAGAGCTATCTGAACCGTCAGATAGACAAGCTGAAGCTGGAAGTGCAAGAGCTGGTGCGTATGGCTCTGTCACCTCCCAGCCTGCCTGGGAACCGTCCATCTGTTGATCCTGTTTGTCTCTCCCTGGTGCAGGAGGTGGCCAAAAAGCAAAGCCGAACAGAGTGTCAGGAGCTGGGCGTGAATCTCTATGGGGTCCAGCAGCACCTGGCTCGACTGCAGATGCAGCTGGGGAAGAGCCAGGACCGCCACTCCATCGCTGCCAGCGAGAGGAGACAGAAGGAGGAGGAGCTGCAGGAGGTGCGCACGCTCTACACCAAGACCTGGGCAGCCGCCAATGAGGAGCGGAAAAAACGTAAGGCACCCAGCGACGCAAGCATTGCATTCCCTAGTGTGCAGCCCCCTGTGTGTGTCCCTGTGCTATCGTGGGACACTAAGCAAATGAAAATGTGTATGTGTCCTGGAAAGGCTCTGTTTTTTGGGGAAAGGAAGTCCTGTAAGTATCTTAAAAAAGCACTTGGACAATGCAGCAGAGGCCGAAACCCACCATAGTAACAGTCTGGCCTAGACACAAACTCCAAGGAGGGGTGGCAAGGAGGTTCTGAGGCAAGTGTGGAGGGAGCGCAGAGCAGGATGTGCAGCTCACTGGGCCAGCACAGGAGCGCATGCCGAAGCACACGAAGGCTGGGCGCATGGTCTCAGCCCAGCAATTTCACGGGAAAGAAATTGTTGCTTTGCACAGAAGGCCTAGGAGCTGCGCCGCACAATAAGCGGCGTCCCTACTGAGTCACCCCTGTGGAGCCAGAGCAAACAGCAGTGTGGACCTCGGGGTACTTCTGTTATGGGTTCTCAACGTAGAAACCAGACCAGAATCCAAAATTAAAATTTAAATATGAGCCTTTTATTACTGGGCCCGGGACTGCGGGACAAACAGCCAGGAGTCTTAGAAGTATAGAGGTTTTAAAGGTGGAAACCGCATCCTGTTTGTCAAACAAATTTGTCATTTAACATAGAACAGTACCTTTAGGGACAGTGTGACCATTACTCAGCATACATTTTTTCTGGGAGCATTGTTTTCTGGGACCTCTCAGTCTATTGATGATTTATCAATGGTGCACCAAGCCTCCTTGCGGTCTTACAAGGAAGTGGGGTCACAGAAAGTTGAGCAGAGTAATTTTTTTGCATTTAGTTTTACATTAACTCATCACACTTCCTCCTGTGGTGTCCCCAATGACTTGAGGCTCAGTGCATTTTGATGTCTGTCAACTTTACTACCAATACAACAGGAAAATACCCTGAAGGAAGCAAGTGGAATCGGATGTATGTTCTGCCGTCCTGGAAAAAGGCACAGTGAACCCTGAGAAGTACAGCGAAGGTTTTGGACTTTTCAGATGCTCTTCCTGTGCTGTAGCGGCAGAGTAACACCTGGCCATCCAAGATGGGCAGGACTTTGTCTTGCGCACAGTTCTGGAGGATGAGGAACATGACAGGGGACCCAATGCCCGCAGGCAGCAGCCTCCTGTGGCTAAGGCAAGGAAAGGGAGGTGGAGCTCGGCTGGGTGGACCCTCGTTGAGGAGAGCCCTGCTGAACTGGGGAGTAAGGCTTTAGGGCAGATTTTTGAGGGGACACATTTAAGAATCTCTTTCGAGCTACCTCCCAGTGATAGAAACAATAATCCACTCTTAAGACTGGCAGTCACGATGCCCTGACATATGTAGCAGGGTGTAGACCACACCGAAGGTGGATGGACCCCCTCACCCTGACCTCTCCACACACCTGGTGCTCCACCCCTCCAGAATGCCCACAGTCACCTACCTCACCTGGAGGGAGGCGAAGCTTCCACATCAAAATGGGGTTACCAGAGCAGCCTTTGGCTTAGCAGGTAGAGCAGCAGACTAGAGTGGGAAATGCCAGTGGCTGTCTGCCTGAGATTTTAGGGGACACTGCATTGTAAATGAGAATGACAGTCATGAAGGACACTTGGAGTTAAAAAAAAAAAAACATAGTGCTTGTCCCTGCCCACCACCATTACCAACGATACCAGAACTGGCCAGTGAATACTGAACTCTTGGCTGAAAGGCCAGTCTGGGGAATCCTCCCTGGAGCAGCAAGTCTCAAATAATGGATGTTTTGTGATGGGGAAGAGGTGGTGAAAGTCCTTGTGGGTCCACAGGCTTCACAGGAAGAGCGGCCACGGCAGGAATGCAGGAAAGGTAGGCCTTAGCATAGGAAGACTCGAGGTGGGCCAGCTGGGATTTAAAGCAAACACACCTACACACAGCTGGTGAGGTTCAGAATTCAAAAGGCAAAGGAAGAAATGCTGCAGACCTGCAGGCCCCTGGGCAGGAGGCGCCCAGGCGGCCACGCAGCAGATCCAGGCTGTACTGGAACCCAGGGTTCCACCAGCTGTGCCGAGGAGCTAGAGAGAGCCATCCCTGGGCCAGCCAGCCTGGACTTGTGATCTGGATAGGGGAGACCAAGTATCCTTTGCTTTTTTTTTGCTTTGTTTGTTTGTTTTTACCACTGTGCTTTTTCTGCAACCCTAAGCTGTATTAACTAGAACCAGAGTTTTGTGGAAGGTATCAGGTCTTCCAGCTCATCTCCCCGGAGCAACTGGAAAAAAAAACCAAACCTTGCATCTCAGAAATGTTGGCTTTTATACTGAGATTTCAGTATTTCAGCCTGACATTGTGAATATGAGATTTTGAAATAAAAGTATAGTGGGGTTATATTGAACATGAATTTGATCATTGTGAGAACCACAGATTGTTTTGGACATAGCTCATGGCAGTACGAGTCCCCAAACTCAAGGATTGGTGGTTATTGTGTGCTGCCTACCTTAAAATTGCATTAGTGGGGACACAAGTGTGGAACACAAAAATCAAAGAAGGGAACATGGACAAAGATCAGTGACTCAAGTAGCCTTTGCAGTACCAAAAACTGGGCAAAGCACACTTGACTTTGCTTTAAACAGAGAGGAATGTGTCTAGTGGTGTTGCTTTCTAGTCTGTCTGTCTGTCTGTCTGTCTGTCTGTCTGTCTGTCTGTCTTTCTGTCTACTTTCTTTCTTTCCATATTTGGTTGTTACAGGGTCTCGCCACGCAGCTTGGACTCATAGTGATCCTCCCGTTTCAGCCTCCCCAGTCCTGGGATTATGCCCAGACTCTGTGGCCTGCTCAACCTGCCCTGGAGGTGGGGCTAGAGCAGCATGTGGTGCGGGGATCAAACTGTGGTCCCCGTGTTTGCCAAAGCTTGTCTAAGCAGGAGCTGTAGTCCACTGAGGTATTTCGCCAGCCCCTCTGGCCTTTTTCTACAATTCAAAGAAGCTGAACTCTCCAACACTCAAACAAAAACAAAAACAAAGAATATAAAGAAAGCTTTCTAATTGTTTAACACACACACACACACACACACACAGCACCAAAATACTTGGTATTTATTGATAGTACAAATTGTTTTTAATGGGATTCTGTGTTGGTGATATGGCTGATCTCTGGTTGAACTTCGCATGTAGCTGATTCTCCATTTCCCTTCCTGGATCTGACCACTGCTTTCTTTCTTTTTTTTTTTTTTTAAATCATCATATAATGTCTCTGCAGAATAAACCCAAGGATCATAGAGAACATTTACATCTTCTGAGCACTAATTAATTAATTAATTCTTCTGAGCACTAAGATTATCAGGAGTTTGATATAAACGAAGATGCTGCTTCTGTGCTTCAGAAATTCAGATTCAGTAGGTCTCGAATACAACACTTGAACCACTTCAAGCATGCTACTGTTGTGGATATCACCAGACCCCCACTTTGAGAACTGCTTTGATGGCTCAGTCCAGCCTTTCTGGGTCCCTGAGTGTTGTTGTTGTTTTTTTGGTGGTACTGGGGATCGAACTCGGGACCTTGGGCTTGCCAAACAGGCTCTTTTTTTTTTTTTTTTAATTCATTTTATTTTATTAAAATTTTATTTATTTTGTGTGGCCAGCTCAGCCCACCAGGGGGCGGGGCCGGCTGGCATGTGGTGCTGGGGGATTGAACCGCGGTCCTTGTGCTTTGCTAAGCTTGTTCTAAGTAGGTGCTTTAGACCACTGAGCCATCTCACCAGCCCCAAGCAGGCTCTTATGCTGCTGAGCCATATCCTGGGCCCCTGCCTTTTGTCTTGCTCTGTGATGCTTGTCTCCTCCTCTTTGCTCCTGTTCAAATCCTGTCACCTTCACATCTGCTTCAGTCACACCTCTGCCTGGGCTGTTCCAACCAGAGAGGCTGTCTGCGCTCCCAGAGTTGTTTATTCTTTTCTTTTCTTTTTTGTTATTTTCAAAAAAACAGGTAATATATTCATGTGATCCAATACTCAGAAGTGAAAAAATGAGGGCCCCTGAGCTTCCTTCTTAGTCACTGTTTCCGTCTCCTTGGAGACAGCCAGTTCTGTTCAGATGTGGGCATTTAAAGCGCTATAAGCTATTTTCTGTACTTGCTGTCATGTTGAATGAGGAGGGACATGACTGTCCCATGCTATACTCCACCTTTGTTTGATCCGAGTTTCACTAGTAACTGCTGAATATTGTGACTGTAGTTGTCACAGTATGGTTCATGGGCCAAAGAATGGTCAAAATCACCTCCCTGCTCCTTGCATAATCCATTCAGTTTTTGTTTTTGAAGTCACACCAGCTGCTAGGAGTGCACCGGAGCTGGGGTTGGCCCGGTGTACAGCGGCAGTCTGCACATAGGCCTTGGGCTGGCCTTTGGAAGGCTACACAGCGGACCACCTCCTTTCCTCTCATTTTCGGTCGTCTTGAAGTTGTATCCAAAAAGTAATAATGCTTGTTTTCAGATAAACATCAGACTTAGACAGATTAACAACATTTACAGCCTTAACAAGGCAAGTATGTTAGGTAAAGGCATATAACTAAAGGGATAGTGTGACAATTTATATAATCCCTGCTGGATCGCAATTTCTCATCACAGCTTCTGACTTGCACACAGTAGTCGTCCCGAGGCTTTTCTTCATTGCTTCAGTTTATGAGCTTTTTATGGTTTCAGGAGTGCACGTTTGGTGAAACGCCCTCCCTGTGCCTTCACACCCTGGTGCCTAGAGAGGTTGGTTACAAGTCTGACAGCCAAGATGGCTCTCAGAACTGTGTTACGTGGTGCGAGTCACAGAGTATGTCCTTTAAATTTGGCTGTCCAGGAGGAGAAGGGTCTTCATCTAACCAGAGTCACTTTCTTAGTGTAGCCTCAACTGGTGGTGATATTCTGAAGAGACCCTGTATACTCCGTTGTGCGGGCTGTGAGGAATTAGTTTTAGGGACCCTTCCTGGCAGGTAGATGTTAGGATTTTTGCTGGGGCACCAGAAGTTGTAGTCGTAGGATCAATTGTATAATGTCATAGAGGATCCTGTCTACAGTCTCACTTGGTGCCCAGTGGCACCATCCTGTGACACCTAGTGCTGTCAGCCTGTTCTCAAATGTTGCATGGCTCCTCTGCTCTGTCTAGCTCCTGGCTTTCTTTTTTAAAGCCTCCCAGACCATTCTTTTTTTTTTTTTTTTTTTTTTGCGGAACTGGGGATTGAACTCAGGCCCTTGCATTTGCCAGGCAAGCACTTATTCTACTGAGCTATCTCCCCAGCCCCTCCCAGACCATTCTGATGAACAGACAAGGCAGGGGGTCACCGATCCAAGGAGAAGGCACCTGGACAGGCTGCACACTGTCCCCACAGGCTAGGGATGTGACAGCCAGAAGCCCACGGGCGAGGATGCCTCCTCAGCCAGGCTTCTCAGATGAGCTCGAGGCCCACAGGGCGCAGATTCACAAACAACACTGAGGACGGACATCCTAGTGAGGAAGCTGCAGGGAGCAAATAAGCCAAAAGAAGAATAAATTAATAAAGACAATAAGCAGAAGCTGGGGACATTATTAAAAAAAAATAGAAAATGCCTTGGCTTGATAAATAAAATTGCTTAGTTTTTTAAATGACCATAAGTTTGACAAACTTCTGCCATGTCCCCAAAGCAGAAACAGAATAACACAAGTAACTTTATGCAATGCGCAGAGGAATAATCACTGTGTTTCAAGGCAGCTATACTTGGTACTGACTGCCTCACTGAAGAAATGTAGTGTCGGTGAAAGTCCCAAATGCCAGAATTTGAAGGTGTTACGGGAAAGTCCTGGTAGTCCTTTAAGGAGTATCACTTTTGAGGTTGCTCAGCCTTTTAGGGGCAAACATTTGGGGCACACCCCCATTCTTGTCCCAGAATGCTCAGCCTAATGCTTGCTGCAAAAAACTGGCAATGCGTGAGTCCAGACAACCACGAAGCGGTCCCATTTATGAGGTGGGAAAATACCAAGCGTTAGCAAAATGAGTGCCGCAACGTATCGAAGAAAGGTACCCCAAAGCCAAGTCTGGCTCACTTGTGGAACACAGGAAGCATTTGCCACAAGCAGTCTACAAATTTAATACATATGTTAGCCAGTTAAAAGTGGGGGAAAAGTTTCCTGGGGCATTTGATAAAAGCTATCCATCCCAAACCAGGGCAGAAAGTCAGCTCCTCAGACATTTAGCAGAACCCACAGGAAACGTCCCCTCTAAGGAAAGCGCAGATGCTACAGCTAAAGTCAGGGTGGAAGGAGGGTGCAGCCGGTAGGACTTGAGAACCCAGCAGAGCAAGAGCACGTGGAGCACAAGTGAGATGTTGATTTGGAGATGAGCTGTTGACATTGTCACCTGCCCCAGGGACACAGTGGACACCTAGAAGAGCCATAAGAACTAAGGAGTAGCTGTTAGAAATACAGTAAAAGAAATCAGGACAGTACCAGGACACCTATAGGTTATAGTTTTCTATCTGAACAGTGCCCAGTTAAGAATTATAATTTTTAAAAATCTCATCCACCGTAGCTGCAACAACTTTAGAAAGCAGCTGCAGGCTTCATGGGATTAAGCCCAAGAAGATGTGATGGGCGCTATCTAGAGAAAAACAAACGTCACTTGAGGACATAGAGCAGATCTAAATAAACAGAGCAACCCTGTACCAGAAAATTCATAATATAAAAGCCTCATTTCTGTCCAAATCAGAAGTGCATCTAGTATAATTCTAATCAAGATTCGTAATGGGGGGGTGGCCAAAAAGCTCGGCGGATTAAAGCACCTACAAGCAGGCCCAGGGGCCAAGGGCTTAATCCTCAGGTTTGCCGTGCTGGCCCTGCCCCTGGGGTGCCTTGAGACAATTGAGATTGGGCGTGGTGGCATGCGCTTGTAATCCCAGCAGTTGGGAGGCTGTAAACAGATAGATCACTACGAGTCTAATCTAGAAGTGAGACCCTGAACACTCTGTAGACCCTTCCCTAAAATACAACAACAAAAAAAAGATTCATAATGGGATGTTTAAAAATTGTTTAAATGTTAGCTTATTAATCAGTACATATGCATGGTACATAATGTTTATGTTCTCTGTGAGCAGAAGGTACATGTACATAACACACCCGAGCTCCTTTATGCATTCCCCATCTCTCTCCTCCTCCTCCTCTCCCTCCATCTCTTTTTTTTTTTAATTTAATTTTATTTGTGTGTGTGTGTGTGTGTGTGTGTGTGTGGCCAGCTCAGTCCACCAGGGGGCGGGGCTGGCTGGCATGTGGTGCTGGGGGATTGAACTGCGGTCCCTGTGCTTTGCTAAGCTTGTTCTAAGTAGGTGCTTCAGCCCACTGAGCCATCTCACCAGCCCCTCCCTCCATCTGTTGATAACCCCTTTTCCCTTTGACTACAGTTTATCTCCCTATTTGCTATTATCCATCTTTTATTCCAGTCTTCATTTTTACTCTGGATTTCATGTGAAAGAAAAACCATGTGACTTGAAGCTTTGTGTGTTGGACTTACTTCGCTTAACGTTATGTTCTCAAGTTGCATCCGTCTAACTCTGAATGCCTCAAGCTTGCCTTTCTTTTGACAATGGAATACTCCAGTGTGTATAAATACCGTGCTTTTCTTACCCGTTCATCTGTTGTTTGTAGACATATATAGTGTTTCCAAGCTCTCGCTGTCAGGAATTGCGCTCCAATGAACACGGCTGTGTGTGTGTCTCTGTAATATGATAGATCTAACTCTTTTGGGAAGATACCTTCAAGGAAAATGCCCTTGGTCAATCGAAATTTCCAATTTTAGTTTTTTTGAGGAATCGCCACACTGCTTTTCACCGGGGTTGTACTAGTTTCCACTTTCACCAACCACGTAGAAGAAATCCTTTTCCCCCAAATCCTCACCAATATTTGTTATTATTTTTGTTTTGATGATAACAGTGACCCCACCCCTACCCCCCAGCCTCTCAGGGCTGAAACCATCCAGCGCTTTTTAAAACTTTGAAAGAAACTCTTGCCAAATTGGCCAGGCTGGCTTTGATACATTAGTCTCATGTGAGTCTTACTAACAGGAATTCAGGGTTTGATCTCTTCTGGGAACACGGATGAAAATCTGCTGCAGAATTCTGGGCAGGCCTGGGATATAATAGCTCAGTGGCACAAGTGCCTGCCTGGCAAGTGCAAAGGCCTGAGTTCGACTGCCAGTACAAAAAATAAAATAAAATAAACCTGGGTGGGGTGGAAAGGACTGCTTTGTCCTCCTTGGCCTGCACCAGCCCTGGCCTCGTCAGTGTGAAGCTGCCTGCTGCCTGGCCTCTGAGTCCTTCAGCTGGTAAGAAATCTATAAGGTGATTCCCTGGCAAGTACAAGGGCCTGAGTTCAATCCCTGGTTCT